CACCATGACAGCCCAAAACCGACCAAGCGGACAACTTCGTGACGACCCAAAACCACCCAAGCGGACAACACCATGACACCCCAAAATCGACGAAGCGGACAACACTGTGACAACCCAAAACCGCCCAAGCGGACAACACCGTGACAGCCCAAAACCGACCAAGCGGACAAGACCGTGACAACCTAAAACCACCCAAGCGGACCAAGCGGACAACACTATGACAGCCCAAAACCAACCAAGCGGACAACACCGTGACAGCTCAAAACCACCCAAGCGGATCAGGCGAAGAAATTGTCATAGCCCAAAACCGACCAAGCAGACAATACCGTGACAGCCCGAAACCGCCTAAGCGGACCAAGCGGACAACACCGTGACAACCCAAAACCGACCAAGCGGACAGCACCGTGACAGCCCAAAACCGCCCAAGCAGACAACACCGTGACAGCCCAAAACCGACCAAGCGGACAACACCATGACAACCCAAAACCACCCAAGCGGACCAAACGGACAATACCACAACAACCCAAAACCGACCAAACAGACAACACCATGACAACCCAAAACCACCAAAGCAGACCAAGCGGACAACACCATAACAACCCAAAACCGACCAAGCAGACAACACCGTGACAGCCCAAAACCGCCCAAGCGGACAACACCGTGACAACGAACATCCGACCAAACAGACAACACCGTGACAACCCAAAACAAACGGACAACACCATGACGGCCCAAAACCGACCAAGCGGACAGCACCGTGACAACCCAAAAGCGCCCAAGCGGACAACGCCGCGACAGCCCAAAACCGCCCAAGCGGACCAAGCGGACAACACCGCGACAGCCCAAAACCGCCCAAAACCGACCAAGCGGACAACACCGTGACAGCCCAAAACCGCCCAAGCGGACAACACCGTGACAGCCCAAAACAGACCAAGTGGACAGCACCGTGACAGCCCAAAACCGCCCAAGCGGACCAAGCGGACAACGCCGTAACAGCCCAAAACCGACCAAGCGGACAACACCATGACAGCCCAAAACCTCCCAAGCGGACCAAGCGGACAACGCCGTGACAGCCCAAGGAAAGCCTAAACCTCAATCCGGGTGATTCCTAAAATTCCCGGAATTTTCAGCTCCGGGTGATTCCCAAAATTCCCAGGATTTTTAGACAATAAGCGTTAAAATTCCCGGAATTTTCAGGATCCCCCTGCAAGGCCCTCACAAGCAGCCAAATCGACCGGAAGAGGAGGTGGGGCATCCGACAGGGCGGCCGCAGAGCGAAAATAAGGGTCGAGCCCGTAGCCTTTGAAGATAAGCTCAGAAAATTCATAATAAAAATCCGCTAAATACAAGAGATCATATGAGATAAAATATCCCCCCATCATTTTGAAAGTATCCAATACCAATCCAATTCGAAAATTATTTCAAATAGAAAGCGAAAATATATTTTCAACGACGATGATTTCAATGCGCGAAATAAATTCCATGAGATCTTGAAGTACAGCAACTTACCCAATGTATCGAGAGTATGTATAGCCTCTTTCCAATCTTTTGAAGGCACGAACTTCAGTTTCTGCAAGCTGCTGGTTTCGCATCTTGCTCATGCCGCTCTGCCCACAGCCAACAAGTACCCGCAAGTCGAATCCTTATCTCGCCAGAGTTGCAGAATTGACTCAGTTGACGTGGGAACCCCTGAGGTCGGAACTTCACAGGCTAGCGTGGCCCTTGTACGATCATTGGCTTCCCACGCCTCCTGTCCCACCTTGCATGGAGGTGCAAGGCTCTGATCGCGTGGGTACTTAACATGACGCAATACCTCTTTTGACTTTGACAGAAGCAAGGCCGCCTAAGGCAAACGGAAGAGGATTTTGCACCGCAGGTGGTGGAGGTGCTTTGCGCAAGTCTTTCTGCAGGTATCTCCTCATGTTGTAGTATGGCCGGAGCTTGACTTTGCTGTGCGTCGCAAGCAGGAACTTCCCCATCATGTCTTTGGATGACGCCAGCTCCTCCACACTGTGGACGTTGTTGTGCAGCAACCTGGATCACTGCATATGGATTCTGAAATTTTTTGGGTGTCCACATCGAGATCCTCAACGTATAGGAGGATGTCGGGCCCTCTTTCGTGCTTTTGAAATCAAAGGCCAACCCTCTACCCAGGGGTCTCCTTTAGAACCTTGGCGGGAGGGGGGAGGAACGTGCAGCGAGGATCCACATGGCCTTTCGACATGAGGGGGGCGGAAACCCATGAAAGAGGGCCCAACGTCAGGGCCCTCTGAACATGAAGCAAAAGAATAATCTTAAAGGGACCCGAGGAACCATGTAGACACCTCCTCAAGAGCGGATGGATGTTCGACGAGATCTGCGTGGTCCGCGAACTTTTCGAAGTTCCCGATGTTGCTCTTCGCGTTCACAACTGCTTCCCCAAAACACTTCTGTGCCAGTCCAATCTGTATGCAGTGCTTGGACGAAGGATGGCAGTCATCGCTGCTCGCGCAAGTACAACCTGAGGAGAAGATGCAAGACCCATGCAAGGCTTCAAAGTATGGGCCCTTTAATTTGAGGGTCCATATACATATATATATATATATGCCCATATAAGTAATTACCCTCGAAACAATCAACAGTGGAGGTTGGTCCTGGAGCATGGGCTTCGGAAAACACGCGGCGTGTGGCGGCCATGTATGGTAAATTCTGTCCGAGGACCCGCTCCGTCACACTTCGTCTTGGCTTTCGCCCGCAAGGCACGTCCAGGAAAGGAGGCTGACTCCTGGGATGCCGAGCTTGCGCCAACCACCAAACACGCCAAACACGCAAGCAAGAACGCCATGGGCGAGACTGCCAGCTTGTGTGGCATCATGGGCAATAAGACAAAAGCCACGGTACTTACGTCTTCGGTGGGCACATCATGTGGAAGCATCTATATGGAACTACTGCTCGGAGTGAACACACCGGGTCGCCAGCACCGCACTATCGAACACGCTGGAACACAGGCATGGCATACTTCATCACGTGCACAGCAAACACCACCCAAACATGCATGCGAGGTCGCTAGTGCAGCTAGTGTTGCACTCGCTCTCTTTTTTGCTAACGGAGCCGCTTCAACCTGTCTAAGATGTCCCACTCCAGGTAGAGCTGGCGGCAGGAGCAGTGCTGGGACGTCCGGGCTTCCAGGTCTGCTGGGCGGGGATGTTGTTGGCTTACAGAAAGCAGAATGGTGCATTCAGACAGGATCCTGATTCTGAGCACTGGATGTTCTGACTTCCACGATCAAGGGTTGCCTGTGCTTAACTCCAGCAAGCCATGAATCGTGTCAGAAAGCTTGCAGCCCTGAGCTCGCGGCCTCTTCCACAAGCATGTTCACGTTTTCCACCACCTCTGAGGCCATTTGAAGAGTGCTGGTTGCAGGGCTCAGGTGTGGTTTGGGGTTTCATAGGCCCGACAGCCCTACAGTAAGTAAGCTCCGACATGCGAGAGTCCGAAGGTACTGCAGATGCCCGAAGTCTACGTGCCTCGTGCACAGAGACGGCGCCGTTCTCCTCCGCCCAGCGCACAATCTGCGGAGCCTTCCGCATTGAAGAAGAAGCTGGGGCGACCACCCTTATAATTCACAGCTCTCAAGCTCTCAGTTTGTCTACTAGTGGCTTTGGGCGGGGGCATTTCTGAGTCGTCCCGAGTGCCTGATTCAATTCGTGATTTTGGCGCCCACGGTTCCCACAAAGACCGTGTTGAAGAGAAGGGCAGCGATCCACACGTTTCACGCGGCCAGCCGGCCACGGTGCGGAGGGGCCACTCCACATTGCTTTTATGATACGAAATTCGTAAAAGATTTCTTTTTTATCGTTCCCCCCCTTCCCACCCAGTCTCCCCACCTACTTGTAATCCTTAGTTTTTGTTTCCAAATGCCGCTCCCAAGCGCGTGCTCGAGTACCACGACGGAGGTACTTGTTGCAAGCGTCACCTACAGTAGCACTATCCGAGGCCCAAAAGCGTCGACAGTCCCAGCGTTTCGCGATACGGAGTATTGCAAGCCCCCGAAAACGGGACCAAGTGGGAGCGCGATCTGGACCACTGGATGTGCACGGAACCTAGCGAGACCACGATTTGTCACCTCGCGACACCCCGCCATGACAGGAAACAGTGACTGCAATGTATTGCGGTGAAAGAAAAAATGTGGCACCACCAGGTGCAAAAAGGCAACTCAGCAATTTCCTCCTGTGCAAATCACACAAGATACATGAGCTCTTCGCTCAGTCTTCTGTTCGTCATTTGTCTTGTCTATCTTCGTTCTGCTACCTCATTACGGCTTCTTACTATTATTCTTTTTCTTCTTCTTCTTCTTCTTATTCTTCTTCTTCTGATTCTTCTTCTTCTGATTCTTCTTCTTCTTCTTCTTCTTCTTCTTCTTCTTCTTCTTCTTCTTCTTCTTCTTCTTCTTCTTCTTCTTCTTCTTCTTCTTCTTCTTCTTCTTCTTCTTCTTCTTCTTCTTCTTCTTCTTCTTAGTCTTCTACTTCTTCGTCGTGCTCCTTACAAAGCAATAAAGTTCGAAGAACACAGGCAAACAACAAGGAAGCCTATATGAAAGACTAGCACTCTTTCCTCCACCTCACTGGGAATCGAGCTGCCTGCCTTTAGAGGCACTCCTCCAATATAGCTACGAATAGGAGCTTTACAACTCGCAGCTTTGAGAGGGCTGTTGCGCAGGCCTCGCTTTCAAGGCCCACGCTGCACAGGGCCTGGCTCTGATGTATTGGAACAGTGCACATTACAGGTGGTATGTTTCTGCACAAGCTCTGACATGACCAAGAACGCAAGGCAGTAGCAAGCCTCACATCTGTTCAGTTCAACTTGGACAAGGAATGCACGGTCTACCTGGAACAGGCCCGGGACGGCTTCCCTACCTGCAAGGCCGTCTGACAAGGCAGAGGACCGGAAGCATGCACCACTCATGCATGCACTGGCGCCAGATACGCTACGGCAGACAAAGAGCTTCCAACTACGTGCAGCCTGGCGCTTCACCCCAGGAGACTTCCTGGCGCGTGAGCGCTTCATTGGGGCATGGTCGGCTCCGACTGTGTGGGTGAACGATCAAGATATCGTTAAAAATCTACGGCCCTATGGGGCACCTAGCATCGCGCACAAAGTACGGCTCCATCACGTCAGGCAAGCACAAGTAATCGTTAGTTGCTGATGTCGCTGGCCTCCGCAGCCACTGGCGCGTCCCAGGCAACCTTCAGCATTGAGGCACGAAACATCATCCTTCGCTGATTCTGAGACAAGGCGTAGAAGCCGAGGTATGTTTGCTCTTGTCAGCTCACCACTCACCTTGCTTTGCCTCTGTGGCCATCGGCGCATCGCCCCAGAGACCGCCACCCTTCTCCTGTCGCCAAAACTGGAGTTAACCCCGAAGAACTCCATCACTACCCGTTGGGCAACTCAACAAAGGTCAGGAGATGACTGCAGGAGTTGCACATCAGCGGCCCTTCTTGAAACCTTCGGCCCATGGGATCCCATGCCCGGAGACCCCGGCAAAGGGGCCTCCCCTGGCTCCTGCGCGGGCTCTTCTGCCTCAGACTCAGGCCGAGACTATACTTCTCATCTGTATCATCTGTATTGTAACGCGCAGGTCATGCGGTAGCAAGGGATGACGACCAAGGCTTTTCCACTGTTGCACAGGCACAGGCAAGAAAGCAAGAACGCGTGACTGGCTAACGGGCGGACTGAGTGAGCGAGACTTTTTAGAGGGAAGCGGAGACGTGAGAGAATTCGCATGACTCCCCACAGACACTCTACACACTTCTAATTTAGGGCCCGCGTCCAGGGCATCCTTTCTATAAGGGAACTCGATTTCTGCGTCTCTAATTTGGGACCCGGTACCCTCGGCGCTACGGCGCCCCAAACCCCTACAGCCCTTTTGAGGAGCCAGCCTCGGCCAGGGGCCTGCCAGCAGAATGAGATGCAGTGTCTCTTTGCAGCACCCCCTTGCCACGATCCCTAGCTCTCGCTACAAGGGGGAGGGGGGGGGGAAAGAACCGTAGATCCTAACAACTTTGCAGTCATAGGGAGCCTTCTTTCCATCTACCCATCTACTGAGTCGTTTCAGAGGCTTCCCTAGCGCACCTGTTGTGCTGAGCCTGCGCGCCGATCCATACCCTGACAAGGGTTGTTTAGGGTCTAAGGTTCAGGGCAGTTCAGGGCTTTTGGTTTGGATGGTTTTAGGGTTTAGAGTTTAGGGTTTAGGGTTTAGGGGCCGACGGTGTTGTCCAGGGGTTAGGGGTTCGGGGTTTACGGTTTAGGGTTGCAGGCTGGGGTTTAGGCTTTCACGTGGCCCTGCCCATTTTGGAGCTGCGATGCGCCGAGCTTTGCTGAAGTGTTTTCCAGCGTATGCACCCGTGGCCAGAAAGAGTCATCAATGCCTTGCTGGCCTCTTTGCCGGTGTCTCCCTCACTGGCGGCTCCTGCAGGGGCCAACCGACTTTGTAAGTTCCGGATGACAACTAATGATAGCTGAGGGCTCTTGATGGCATGGACCCAAAACTCAGAGTAGAGAAATCGATGCCTCGTCAGGTTCTGTTGGGAGCTCAGCCGCACTCCACTCAACCTTGTCAGGGCAATTGCTGAAGCGGAGGGCCGCAAGCTTAGCCAGCCCCAGCACATCACCACCCATCATCATTACCAAAGCAGGCCCACAAAATTGAAAGCTCGCGCACTTAATCTACGAAGCACAGCTGCCATCATGGTAACCGTTAGATGAGAACAGTACTCGCAAGTGATGGTGCGATAGCAAACGCAGATCTTGTTGAAACGCTGACTCATTGTTCTTTCCTAGCGTGTCCTGCCTGAGTGCCGTAGTATTGCAAGATACCTGCCCACATTGTGCCAAGGCAGTGAGCTTCAGTTGAGGGCAGTTGGTGTCGGGCATGCATTTCAATACTCGGCCGTATGTCGACCCAACTGATGAGTGGGCATGGCATGGTGCAGGCATGCAAAGGCGAGACCCCGGGCTCTCACAGACATGAGCTGAAGTCTCTCCGTCCGAAGAGCCTTCGACCAGCTCCCGTCGGGCTGCCTGCACAAAAGCAAAACAACTGTGCACCACCTGACCACTGCCACAGGGCTGCTGGGTGCCATGGCGGCAGGACCCTGTCGACTGCCTCCACCGCGGGAGCTGCACCCGCAATGTCCACAGCGAGCCTAGCACAGCTCGAACGACAAACACATTCGCTTGGAGCAAATGCTTTGCTACACTGCAATGATAAGGCAAATGTTACAGCAAACCTCCGCAACAAAGATTCTCCTCCGCAGGCCAAGGTGGTTGAGGGCATTTTGGGGGTTTGGGCGGCCAAAACCGAAAACAATGAGAAGCTGAAACATGCCGTAACACGAAACCACTTGCCACTCAAGCCATGTCTGCCGCAACGCAGGCCAGCTATGCCCGGCTGGCAGTCCATGCTTCCTGTTGCCCGAAGGGAGTGGCTGTTGAGGGCTTCCAGGGTTTCTCCCCAGTTCTAAGGCTGTCAAGGTGTAGGCCCAGGCAAAAACGTCCCGACTCCTTGCATTCTCGGATATGTGAGTTTAGAAGTAACTCCTACACCTTGGGGTTTAGGGCTCAAGGATCGTTCCTGGTGGCGCGCGGCAGGTTGAGGTGTGCACGGTTTGCGGGCTTAGCGGTATCCTCAATAGCGGGCCTGACTTCTGACAATCGTGCCGCTGATAGGCCGAACTTGGCAGCCAGAATTTCCAGGTCCCCCTGCAGGGATGTCAAGGAATCCGTTAAGGATTAAGCCTTGTCTTTTGTCTTGGAGGCATAAAGGTCTGGGTTTTGGGTGCCTCTTGCTTTCTCGAACAAGTCAGAAAGAGTAATCAGTACTCCCCTCCGTTGCCCCCCCCCCCCCGCCCCGGCACGCCCCAATACCAAATATTCCCGTTGAAGCACAATATATGTCTTAGCATATCGGGAACTATACATATTAGGACGGCAGAAGGCTTGAAGGGGCTAGGAGTGTCTCGTAGCTTCGCAGCTCCGATGCTGGGCCTCGAGGTCGTGCCTTGCCAGAGCTGACAGCGAACGCAGCCACGCGGGTGAGGCACGAAACGTGGCCTGCACGAGATTGTACTAAAGGCTTTCGGTGTAGACTGCGTCTACATATGTATTTGCATGATACCTGTACAGAGCTACATCACACTCAAGCTCGTACATGCTAGCCTAATTCGGCATAAATCATCAAGGAGAGGGGGGGATCAAGGACTGTGCCAGCTAAATCGCAGAATCACACCGCCGAATGTTCAGGCGAAGCCTCTTCAACAAACTTCTCAATTTACACCCCCACTGTGGGAGGAGCAGCGTCGGGCAATGCAAGTCCATCCCTCGCCTGTTCTCCTTGGGACTCCATTGCAAAGCCACTGGGCCTTGCATTCTGAAGGCAGCGCAACAACATGCCCCAAAACTGCGGATCCAACTGTCGGCACCCACGATACTACACAGTCCTTCCACAAATTCGGCGGAGCAAGATTCAAAACGAACGGCAGCTTCCATGACAACAGCGGCTAGCTTGTAGAAGCCGGCAATGTCACGTCACAACACTCACACGAACCGGTCACTACCTTCTGCCTCTCATCAACTGTTGACAGATCCACTCCTATCCTCCCTCATGGCACCCGAATCAGGAAAACATAGGGAAACTTATAGGGAAACCAAGGAGAAATCCTGGGGCAAGAACTCGGCTTTGAGAAGACAATGCGAGCCTTGCATGCTGGTGTGGATGTGCATGTTGGCTTCCGACCTGCCCACGCACAGCCATGCCAGCATGTTGCAGGTTGGCACCACCTATCCCCCTTCTTCCCCCAAGTTCTTGAAACAGGCAGCTGAGTGCCTCATAGAGCTCCAAGCAGCCACAGGGTGGGGTCACGAGCCGCGCCTGGCGCGGGGGCCAAAACGCATGCCCAAACTCTAGAAACATGGGGGGGGAGGGCCAGGGGGGTAAAAGGTTTGTCCCCAAAACGAATGATGGCCTGAGTCTGTTGTTTTTCTCTGCTGCGGATGTCATAGTCCGCATCCGGAAAGAAGCCATTGGCATCCTCGTGAAGATGCTGGGAAAGCTGCCAACCGTGGAGCGGACGGACCAACCAAGTAAGAAGCCCAGGCTCCTTGGTACCACCCCAGCGCTTCTTCTGCTGCTCCACAGCAAGCCTTAGAACTACAAGGACTAAAGCAAAATCAATGAGACCGCAGAGGTCATGCTGGAATTCCTCTGATCGATTTGGCCATTCAGAAGCATCAGTACTATGCCGCAATCATGCAACACCAGCTGGACTGATGACAAGCGGCGGTACTGCACTACACTGCTATGGTTGGTTCACAAATCAGCTGAGTCCCATCGCCAGACAGCTTGGGCCAAGCACGAAACAAAATGCCAAAATGCCGAGCCACCATGACCCAAAACAAGCCAGACTTCTGCTGTCTTCTTGGTGCCTCGCATAAGGTCTTCGTAGGCTTGGCTGGCGATGTCAGCAGTGTCCTGCTGAGCAACAGGGAGTGTTGACGTCAGCCGCCTTCTCATTCGTTGGTCTTCGGGGCTGTTCACTCTAGTTTGGGTCCTGCTCAGGCGATGCCAGCAGCTCGTCCATCGCCATCCGAAAGTCGTTGAGCAGATTCCTTATCAAAGCACGAGGCAAGATGTGCCATGCAAAACACGGCTTTGCTGCCGAGCACAAAGCGGCATCTTCTTCTGAGCCATCAGCATGTCCGGGGGGCCCCACCACCCGGGAGCAAAAGACAAGACCATCGGCCGGGCCTCGGGAAAGATCTAACCATCTGATCTTGTTCATAGATTTCATGGCATGCAAGCTCATCACAAATCTGACGCATCCGGTCGTCCTCGAATCGCGCACCTTCTCTTTTGACCGCGAGTCTTCCGACCGTTGGCATGTTGGGCCTTGCCCTCTATGTACAGACGTGAAGGAAGTCTCTTCGAGATCTTCAACTCTTCACGGGCACTAAACACCCACAACTTCTTGACGTTTGACGTGGCCGTAAAACCTGAACCTTGAACCCTAAAAGATCTCTTCGTGCTCAACAAAATGGCTCCGCGCTCTCTGAGCTTTCAGAGGACGAAATCGAGCCCGATGATGTCTGCAGAATGAGCGTGGGAGGATCAGAGCGATAAGAGGGTTAGGCTCAAGACTGGCAGATCAGACACATGCTTGCTGCTCGCCTTCTTCCAAGCTGGAGGTCTTCAGGATGTCCCTGAACTCAAAAGCCCCCTAAACACTCAATAACACGCTGAACCCCCTAAACCCCTAAACCCCTCCCTCACAAGCCCCCCCCCCCCCCCCACAAACAGCCCCAAACCCCCCCCCCCCCTCCGCCCCCCTCCCAAACCCCCCAAACCCTACACCCCAAACCCTAAACCCTAAACCCTAAACCCCAAACCCCCCCAAACCCTCAACCTTTCGATGAATCGGCCTCCCGGGCTTCATGAGCTTCGGCCAACCTCGCACCAAAAGGGCTCAGAAAGAATCCTTGGGTCCCTAAGAGGAGTCTCCCAATTACCGGAAATTTCTTGGAGTTTAGCAGCTGTTGGTTGGGTTTTATTCCGTTGGAGTCGCGAAATTATCGGCGTCTCGTCACTGGACTGAAATCTCTATTCCTTATCGTTTAGTTTAGGGTTCCACCATGTTCCACCAACAGAGGACATGATTTGGATGACAAATGTTCAAGGACATACGAAAGGCTCGGCTAGGCCTTTGAGAATCTCACGGGTTCTACGGATGTGCCACCAATCGACAATGGAACATGACTGGGAACATGACTGGAAGTATGGTGGAGGATTTAGGACTTCGGGACTGGCAGAGGCACGAGAAGGAGCACGAAGGGGGGGGGGGAACACGTGGGCTCAACCTTCAAGGGGCAAACCCTCAAAGTTTCATCCGCCATCTCGAACTTTCAGACCAGCCACCCGTTCAGCGCAGAAATGCGCGAGCAGCAGCTGGCCTGCAACGGGAGTCGCGCGGACATGCGCCGAGCAATCCTCCGTCATGCTTTCACTTCGACCAAATCAAGCAAGGTAGGGGCTCGGCACGAAATTGCGTTGTAGCCTTTTGGAGTACAGCATCGCATATTGCTACTTGTTACGGTACGTCATGGCATCATTTTTGCTCTGTTGGAGTACGGTGAGCATTCGAGGGTCTCAGCGGTAACGACACGCTGCGCTTTTCTCCGGGCTCCAGAGCACGGCGAACCAGAGAGGCCAGGGTGGCGACATCGGGGCACCTGTCCTGGGCACGATTTTTTTTAAGGGGCTCTGAGACTTTGCGGGTCCTTGGTAGGGAAGTAAGGGCTAAGGGCTTAGGGATGCTGAGGGTTTAGGGGGTTCAGAGACTCGGGTGCCTTCTATCCGATTCCATCTTCTACCCATGGATCCTGAACTCCCCTGCAAGTTCCCAGGTAAAGTTACAGGGAGCCTGCCAGCGCTCGGCCATACCCCAATTGATCGCCGAAGCCAGGCCATCGAGGAAAGGCTCTGGGAGCTCCTGTGATAAGAGGTAAGTAAAGGTTTTAGGACGCCTAAATGTGGGATAGAAATAGGTCTTCCCGTAGTTCGTAGGAGCAAGGGTTTAGGGTTGGGGCTCAGGGTTTGTAGGGTTTGGAACTCGAGGTTTAAATGTTTAGGGATGCGCAAAGTTTGCCAGCACTTTTGAGAGCAGGGTGGACGAAAGCTAGGCCCAAGCATTTTCTTCGCAAGTACATCTGTGTTGTGCCTTGAATCTTGGAGATGTCAGGGACGAAGACTAGGACCCTGAAGTTGTCCCGAAACAAAACAGGTCGTAAACAAAACTTCCGCAAGCTCCAAAGGAGCTAGCTTTCGTGACCTGTTTTGGTTGAAGGGGGCTTCGCCTGTAGGATCAAGGCTTGGAGCTTGGAGTTCAGAGTTTGCGGTTCAGAGTGTCCTCGCCAGCAGCCGCTTGCAGATGTGCCTCTTGCAACGGCCAGCGCGAATGCAACGAGGAGTGGGAACTTCGTTGGTGAGCATCACTCTTGATACTAAACCATGACCATGACAAAACTCCGACCGGCCTTGAGCAACTCCTGCGTTCGATCGGGCAAGCCTTTCCTGAAAGAGTTGGCAGTCTTGCCGGCCCAACACAGCTCGGCACAAGCACACAGCCACCAGCCGAGCCATGAGTTCTGTGAGTGCCTCGTCCGTTTCAGCAGCAGCCAAAGCAACGTGGAGGCGCAGCCTCAGTCTCTCGAGGGGCAGCAGTTGCGCGCGGTTTTGTCGAACATCTTCCTGCTTCAACTCGCCACAAACGACAGCCCCGAAAGCTCCTGGACCTGAACTCCTCTCCAGGGCGCCGAAGACGTCGCTGTGAGGACCAAAGTGCCCCTGTACCAGCTCTTCCGCCTGTGGAAAAATCCAGGCTCCCTCTGCTAAGAACAGCTAAGACCCGCTGCAGGTTACCTAACGAATCCGACTTGTATGAACCCTATAGCACAAACCTGGCAAGGTGGCCCTAAGCCCGAAACCCTAAACCCTCAAACCCTAAAACCCCGAAACCCTAAACCATCAACCCTCAAAACCCTCAAACCCTCAAAACCCTCAAACCCTGAAACTTCAGAAGCCTGGAAGTCGCCACGGCGTTGGAGCTTCGGCGCCGACCCGCCCTCGGTGAGTGCGCTGCAGGCCCAGTCCACCAGGCAAGCCTGGCTTGTAAGGGTTTAAGGCTTTAAGGGTTCGAGGGTTCAGGGTTTAGGGTTCTAGGGTTCTAGCGTTCTAGGTCTAAGGGCTTAGGGCGTAGGGTTTAAGGGCCTAGGGATCTCCGGCAAAAGGAGCTTTAGAGTTTAAGGGCTTAGGGGGCTTGGGGTTCAAGGGTTCGAGGGTTTAGGGCTTAGGTTTAAGGACTTAGGGCTGTAGGGCTTTAGGAGTTTTCGAGTTTAAGGGCTTAGGGTTTAAGGGTTTAGGGTCTAGAGGCTTCTTAGGGCTCTAGGTTGAGTTTAAGGGCTTGGGGCTTAGGGCACTTAGGGTTGAAGTGTTTAGGGCTTAGGGTTTAGGATTTACAGGTCTCCCTTAACTCGGGGAAAAGTTGAACTCATTGGATCCCTTGGCCGCCTGCGGGGAGTCTTCTGTGCCACCCGCCTCCGGCGAGTCCTGCGGTCATGCGTTTTGTTGTCGGGGGGGAGGGGGGGGGGCCTTTCTGGCGCGCTAAGGGTTGAGGAAACGCTTTGGAACAACATTCGTGCACCCAGTCAGATTGCGTCCTCCCTGCACAGAACATTCCACGGGTTCACGTCGCAGTGGATCACGCCCTTCCTTGCGCGCACGTCCAGTTCTCTTCAGTGCTCGACAATGTATCCAATAGTACAATATAGTATCATATAATATCATATATACTAATGTGTGATAACAAGCAATAGTATGTATGTGTATATGTATATGTGTGTGTGTGTGTTTAGATTGTGAATTTTCATATCAGAAATTATCAGAACATAGTACGACAACATAACAATATAATAATGACATACGAATACTAGTCTTTTCTCAGCTGGGGCATTGACAAGGCAACAGCTCTCCAACTCCGTGCCCGTCCTGTTCGCCTCCTCGACGGCCTCTGCGATGTCCAGCCAGGCACAGACTGCTCTGCGACGCAGCGGCGACGAGAAGGCTGGCACCAAGCCTAAGGTTAGGGTGTAGGGTTCAGGGTTCAGGGTTCAGGGTTTAGGGTTTAGGGGTGAGGGTTGAGGGTTGAGGGCAAATGCGCTAGGGCAAGTGGCCGCCACAAGTTCAAGCAGCTGCTCATGTTGCACCTGCCTGCAGTCACTGCGATACTCTTGGGAGCGCGCCTGTGTCAGGCAGCTTTACACCCGGGAAGTAACCTGAAAAGGCACTCGCAACAGCACCTCCAATTGCACCCGTGATGGCGGCATCTTCCTTTTTTTCTTCACTCGCCCGTAACAGGTGCCCAGATCTGTCTCATGTGCTCCGGAAGTTCGACGAGCATGTTTGAGTAGGCCATGTGGCCTCGGCGCGTTGACCAGACTCTTCATTTGCGAGCTCTAGCTCTGCATCCAACAGGAACTCCCAGCGCTCTCTCTTTCTCGCATCCGCTGCCTCAACTTGGGGCAACGAGCTGGGGCAGCTGGGGCCCACCCGCAGTCAAAGAACTAAGCTTCCCGCAGTTATGCCCGGTCCACACTACGGCACACAGTATCAGGAAGGTCGGATACCTGGGCCCATCCAGAGTACCCAGACGAACGCTCGACATGGTGCCAGCCGGGCTCCATGCGCGGTGTGCGAGGGATACTCCAACACCCCAAGCAGGAGTACCTGACCAGTCCCCAAACCACCAGAAAGACACCACTCAGCCCCCGGAACTCTGCACCCCGACTTCGCCGACTGAGACCCCAAATCTCATAAAGCCCTTACAGGCGCCTTCGAGATCACGGGGACCATGTGAAGCATGTCAACGAAAGGCATGACAACCAGGTCGATGGTCACGGGCAGCGCGCAGACCTTTCATTCCACCCCAAACATCCCCAAGCCCTACATACTCACAACACTCAAGCTCAGAGGTCTCAACTAAAGGCCCTTGCCCGCCTTTCAGTTGGGTCCTTAGGCTTCGTAGCCTCGGAGTACCCCCACCCTATAACAGTCACACATGAAGGCTTATAAACGCCACGGGAACAGTACACAGAGATCCATTCACTGTCGGAGTGACGTTATGAAAATTAACAATCATGTGATGATGGGTTCAGGGACCTCTTCGTTCCAAGACCCTCCCCAACCGCCCTTCCAGC